CACACACACACACACACACACCCACTCACACACACACACACACCCACTCACACACACACACACACACACACACACACACAGAGAAAGAGATAAAGAGACATAGACAGAAGTAGGGAAGCTAGATTAGGGAGGGTGTGGACTGAACCTTTTCTGGGCTGGTACTAGCATGATGTACACGGACTATACAGTGCTCCTGCCCAAACTGTGGGGTTTTCAATTCTATTTCCCTGTAATATCATTTAAGAGATTCACAGACCAATTTGGAAAACAGTCTGTTTAGCTTCCACTTCCATATGTCTTCCGACGTGGGACTCCACTGGAACTTAGTCCCTTCTTTTTTTGGCTTTAGTCCCTTAGTACTCATCTTGGTGTCAGAATATTGCCATTGCTTTACTCTTGAGGATTTCTACCTCTTTTTTGTTGCCTTTCTGTTTTTTTTCCCCTTTCTCTTTCACGTGAGCAAATTGGCATTCTGTGTGCATGTGTGCATGTCATTGAGTGCATGAGTGCACGAGTGCACGACTGCATGAGTGCATGAGTGCATGCATGTGTGCGTGTGTGCATGTGTGCATGTGTGCATGAGTGCATGAGTGCATGAGTGCATGCATGTGTGGGTGTGTGGGTGTGTGCATGTGTGCATGTGTGCATGTGTGCATGTGTGCATGTGTGCATGTATGCATGTGTGCATGTATGCATGTATGCATGTATGCATGTGTGCATGTATGCATGTGTGCATGTGTGTGTGCATGTGTGCATGTGTGTGTGCATGTGTGTGTGCATCTGTGTTTGTGTGCATGTGTGTGTGCATGTGTGCATGTGTGCATGCGTGCATGCGTGCATGCGCGCGTGTGTGTATGGGTGAGTGTGTGCATGTGTGCATGTGTGCATGTGTGCATGTGTGCATGCATGCGCGCGTGTGTATGGGTGAGTGTGTCCAAGCTGTTGTTTCTGCAACCATGTCCCATCCATCCACCCAACACTGGATTCTTCTAACTAAAGTTCCGTTTGCTTCCGTTTGTGGCTCTGGATGGCTATTAATTATGCAGTTCGACAACGGATAATACCGAGTTGGAGAGGAAATTCCGACTTTTCCGTGCGCAGTGGGAACTAGCAAATTACTATGGTGAAGAAATCAATCGAAGTCATAAGTCCCTTCGTTTGGTAATGACAGGCTGGCCATTACGCCGCGTCCTGATATGGCTATCGACGGGAACGGAAAGGGACAGCAGAGCACTCCTGGGAGTGGTAGAAGCGTTGCGGTCTGCGTGTGAAAGGGACGCCGGTGGCCTCACATTTTGGAAGACTTCATTATTCCTAGTCAAGCAGACTTTACGAAACTTCAGAGATTGTATCAGATCCCGTTTTGGCTACTTCTCCCCATAGTAGTTGGTAAATAATGAAGTCCCCTAGTAGGTAGGTAGGTAGGTAGGTAGGAGTGCTAGGAGCAAGAAGGAAGCCCCTTGGATTTGTTTTTTGTGACTTTCGTCCATATTGGACTGCGCCCCCTCCCCCCCCTCTTTCTTTTGCATTTGCAAATCTTTTGACGGATGAATCAAATCTTTGAAACTCTGGATCTGAAACAAATAGCAAACACTAATCTTGTCATCCTGATGTATGTACCAAACTTCTTCAGATCTGCATGTTTTTCACCAACCAATCATCAGCACTAACTGACCTCACTCATCCTGCCCTTCCCTCTCTCAACACCCAATAATAACACCCACTATTATATCATCCCCCTGCCAAGTTACCTCCTCATTCCATGCTTGCAAGTTTTTTCTCAGCTTCAAAATACCCCACAACAATTTGGTAGGTTAGTTGAGGATGATGATGATGATGATGATGATGATGATGATGATGATGATGATGATATGATGATGATGGAATGTAATGATCATGATAGTGGTGGTTGGTGTTGAATGATGTCAATCAATGATGATGATAATCATGACAACTATGGGAAGCAACAATGATGATGACGGCAGTGAGGATCACAATGATGTTGATGAGGATGAGGATGAAGATGAAGATGAGGATAGGGATGAGGATGAAGATGACTATGACAACGACAATGACGATGATGATGATGATGACTATGGCGGTGAGATGATGAGGATGAGGAGGCGGCGGAGGCGGAGGAGGAGGAGGAGGAGGAGGAGGAGGAGGAGGAGGAGGAGGATGGAGGATGGAGGATGGAGCATGGAGGATGGAGGATGAAGATGAAGATGAAGATGAGGATAGGGATGAGGATGAGGATGCGGATGACAACGACAATGATGATGATGATGATGATGATGGCGATGGTGGTGATGATGATGATGAGGAGGAGGAGGAGGAAGAGGATCATGATGATAGGGATGAGGATGAGGATGATAGCAAGGGGAAAAAAGAATGCTTAGCCATTGTGGCTGTTGCACAGTTGCACTATGTTATTCTTCTCGGTGCAGTTTTGTGGGAAAAGTGTGATGGGGCTATACCAGTTGTCAATCAAGGATGCAAGTGGTTCTTCTGCTCTCATCTTCAACTTTTTTTTTTTGCATATACTTCAGTCAGAGGTATGCAGTGTGAGTGATTGGTGATACCAGATCCTGATTTTGCTGATCGGTGATATGAGATCCTCCTGAATTTGCTGATAGGACATAACAGATCCTGATTTTGCGTATTGGTGGTGTCAGATGCTTATTTTGCTGATTGGTGATATCAGATCCTTCTTTTTTTACTTTTCTTTTTTTTTTTTAGGGGGGGGGGGGGGGGGGGGGGGGGGCTCCATCTATTGGTGGGGAGCAGATCCTGATTTTGGCTTCCAATGACATCCATCCTCAACTGACTGTAATGCCAGCTGGCATTATCCTTTTAGAATCCCCTTGAAGTTCTCCTCCATCCAATTCTGCTGCTTGAACCCGCTTCCATGAACCCCGCATTTGCTCTCACCTACTGGATCAGTTCTCCATCTCTCTCTCTCTCTCTCTCTCTCTCTCTCTCTCTCTCTCTCTCTCTCTCTCTCTCTCTCTCTGTGTGTGTGTGTGTCTCTCTCTCTCTCTCTCCCCTACCAAGTTAGTTAGTTCTCTAGTTGTATTAAATTACACACATCGATTGTAATTAGAATTTAGTATGCTCGCGTCATTTGCAAAGGGATGCATTTCTATCAGCTGCTATGCATCGCTCTATGTAAAATAGCATGCTGATGAAGAGAACAACAGTTGTTCTTTTGTTTCCCTGCAGTTCCCACAGCCCATTCCACTCATTTTCTTTCACTCATTGGGTCTTTTTGATATCACGAGCAAATACCCACATATTATGTCACAGATCTCTCTCTCTCTCTCTCTCTCTCTCTCTCTCTCTCTCTCTCTCTCTCTCTCTCTCTCTCTCTCTCT